TCGGCATTCAGGACTCGCACCCTCCATAGCGAGCGAGCTCCCCACCTCCTCGCTCACGCCAACGCTCCCTGCCCCTGAGCGCCGGCCGATCCAGCGGGCAGTGACCACCTCCGCCCATCTGCTTGCTCAGAGACGTCTCGCCACCCTGTCCAGGGAGCTGGGACGGTCCCTGGCACTGACCCCCGTAGGGCCCAAAGGCCACGCCGAGCCTTTCCTGGGGTTTTGCTGAGCCCCCGACCCCAGGGAAGGCAGCCCTTTGGTCCTATGGGGTCTCCGTATGGCGCTAGTCGGATGCAATCAGCAGCAGAGCAAGGAAGGGGGTCCCTCAGCTCCCCGTGAGTGCTGCGGGCTGCCAGGACCAGCGGCCAGCGCCTGCATTGTCAGGGGGGCTGCGGGATGGGACCACGGGAGCAGGACAGCTTCCCTCCTCTGCATCTCCCTGCACCATGTCATCTGCGCCGAGAGGATCCGGGCGGCCTTGCCCACCCCCCAGGCCTTGCCATGGCTATATGCTTCTCCGGACTCCGCTGCCAGCTACAGCTCTGTGTGCACGTGGGTCTGAACTCGCCCCACGGACACTGGTGACCACCCCGTCAAACCCCTGGGGAGAGGCCTGACCGTCCACGGCTCACGCGTCTGGCCCGAGAGGTGGTCTCCATGGAAGAGCAGCACGGAGCAATGCCATGGGGGCAACCGGGAGCTTCACCTCACTGAAGCAGGTCCTTACCCCCCCTGCCAGCCCTACTAAAGCCAAATGGATGCTCTCCTGCATCTCTTCTGGTATCCAGCAGCGGGCACAGGGCAGGGGAAAGACACGTGCCCGTCGGCATGGCCAGATCCAGCAGGAGCATCACCGAAGCCCGGACGGAGGAGAGAAAGCACTTTATGTCGGGGCAGGGCATGCTCCCTCGCGTGGGCCAGGACCTGAGACGTGGCCCCGAGAGAAACGTGCGAGTCGCGCCAGGGGCTCCACCGAGGTGAGATGCAACGTGAACACTGCATGCGGTTCACACCGCTCGTTCCCACGGCTCTCCCCGGATTTCGCTGCCCGAGTGACTGCAGCATCCCTCCCTGGGCCGCAAGCACAGCACGCCCCCCTGCCCAGTCCGGTGCCACGCCATGGGCTGGGGCAGGAAGGGGTAGTGGGGGGCGGAAGGGATTCCTCACCCGTGTTACAGGCGTGGGCAGGACCGTGGTGCCACGCAGATGCTTGGACCCTCTTTTCTGCTGCTGTGCTGAAGGCAGTGACCAGACACCCGGCCACGTGGCATTGCCCTGAGCCACTGCATGGGTGTGCAGATGTGCTACTGACTCCAGGGGACGACCAGGCCCATCCCCGGGGATCAGGGGATGGATGCCTGCAGGCTGCCGAGACTTTGCCCATGCCAGCCAGCGGCTTGACAGAGGTCCAGAGAGGGGATATTGCTCCGTAGCAATTGCCCCTACCCTTTGACGCCAGAGGAGCCTGCTGGGGGAGAGGAAGGTGATGGCTCTGATCAGAGTTAAATGCCAGATGCTGAGACCCCAGCTCGTGCCCCATTGCCCTGGGCAGTGGGCAGTGCCCCGTGGTGCACGGAGGGAGAGGAGCGGGGCCGAAGGAGGTGTGTCTGTGTGTGTGTGTCTGTGTCCGTGCCCCCGTGTGTGGGTTTCTCCTGAGCTGGTGGTCTCCCTGTGCCAGGTCTCACCCTTCGTAGACCCAGGTGCTGCTCTGTCCGGAGAGGATGCCCTGACGGGCATCGTCCCATTGCAGGCTGCTCTCTGGCGTGGCCTTCAAAAGCAGCAGCCTTTAGTCCTTCGAAGGGCAAGAGGTGGCTGCGTCTGCGGGCTGGGCTGGGGGCATACGTCTGGGGAACGGGTCCTGGCGAGAGTCCCCCCTCCGCAACCTTCCCAGGGTGCTAGCAAAGCCGCGGGGGTCCCTGATGGCGTCTGCGGGGGGTGGTGCCCGGTCGCCGTGGCCGGGCGAGCAGACCATTTGCTGGGGGGAAGCTGCCAAGGCCCGTGCCCCTGCTAGCACAGCCGGGGACAGGGTGACGGCGAGCCCGCTGGCTCCCCGGGCGTGACAGGAACCTCGCTCCAGACTCTCCACGACGTCTGTTTTTTGGTTGTTTTTTTTAACCTGTTCTGTAATTTATTGAGCCCATTGGCCAACGATGCTAATCCCAATAAAACTTAATTTATTGACGAGCCGGCCGGGGGGGGCTCCACCGGGGGAGCGGCGCTGCAGGCGGGAATGGGCCTGCAGGGAGGGAGGAGACGCTGGGGTCCGGGATGTTTTTGTGGGGGGCGGTGGGGGTCCATCCCTGCAGCCCATAGCGAGGGGAGTTTCTCTCGTCCAAACGGCCTTCGGGCAGCGGGGCTGGACCCGATGATCTTGCGAGGTCCCTTCCAGCCCTATGAGATCCGTATGAAACATGGCTACTTGGCAGATGAATGGGAACGGGCATTGGTTTGAGCCCCCGCTGTCTGCATTCAGCACCTGGCTCTGCCACAGACTCCCTCTGTGGCCTTAGGTGCCTCACTTAACACCTGCCTCAGTTTCCCCCCCCAGGTAACAGTGTTGGCTCAGCCCATCCTGTGCAGTGGGGCAGGGCCTGTTTGACGCTGCGGGAGCGGTGCACAGTGCGACAGGGGCCCTGCGCTGCGCGGGGAGCTCCAGACGGTCCCGTGGGATCACCAAGGGCGTCGTTCTGTGCCAGCGACCCTTCGCCCACGGCCGGATAGTGTATCCATCACGGCTGGATAGCCACGACTGGATAGCGGCACGGGCGACCGAGGGCATGTGGGAGACGGCGTCTGGGTTGCTGACCCGGTTCTGCAGCACGGCTGCCCTCCGTGGGCTTGGGCCCCATGCTGTGCCTCGGTTTCCCCACTGGCACAGGAAGACTATCTGGGCCTGCTTCGTGGGGGGGAGGGGGCACAATAAAGGGCGTATGAGCACCACGGTGGGGGCCTGTTTCAGCGTGGACGCATCACCCCCACCACAAGCATTTTGGGACAGGAAGTGGGGAGACCGCAGGCACATGGCCCCGCACAGGACACAATGGGGCGGGATTCCTCCAGTCTGCAGCTACCGCCAGGCTCACGGACCTGACGCTGCGTGTACTGGTCCTTTATGGGCCCTAATCCCAGGACAGCCAGGAATGAAGGCCATCTGGGATGGCGAGGGGGAGAAAGCCATGCTCATGCCTGATGCACGTTCCCTCGGCTGCTGTGGGAGCCGCTTGCGCCAGCGCGGCCTGCACGCGCGGTCGGGTCGGGGTCCGGGCTGCCTCCCCGCTGCCCTCCAGCCTCCGCTGGCCCCGGGGAGCAATATTAATCCAGCCAGCCCCGTCCCCCGCCCTCCCCTCTGCAGCCCTGGCCCCCAAAGACGGAGAAAGCACCTGGACCAGGCGATGGGGTCTAAGCAAATGAGCCCTTTTATTGCATGAGCAGGTGATCATCCAGGCAGTGCTGAGGACCCAGCTCAAAGGCTGCAGAACCTGCCGCTTCGCGGGGAGGTCCCTGGGGGTCACCTCCCCCCAGAGAAATAACCTTCGGCTTAAATTACACATTAAAAAAATAGCTCGGGATTTTAAAAAAGCCGCGGGAGAGGCCCCGGCGGCGGGTTAGTGGGGTTAAGGTCACACCACGCATCTCACTAACTACCCGAGAGGCAGCAGGGGAGATTGTCACGAGGGCGCTGGAGCCCGGGCGCCTCCTTCATTTCAGCTCGTGGATTCGCCCCACCCCGGGGTCCCCTGCCACCGGGGACTGCAAGGCGCGCGGTCTCCATCGTACAGCTCCAGGCACCTCCGCTGTGCTGGCGAGTCTTGTCTGCCCCCACTTTGGAGGTGGGGAAACTGAGGCAGGGGGTGGCAAGTGAGTGGCTCAGGATCCAGGGAAGTGTTCGGGGTGGGGTTGGGTCCCTGCCCGCAACCGCTCCCATCCCGGCGCCCTCTGGTGTGTCCCCAGCGCAGGAGCTGCTGCACTGGGAAGCACTGGGTGCATGGCCCAGCCCTTGCCGGACACCCAGTTTGTCCCTGTGTCCCCCCTGAACAGCTGAACAGAGGGGGCAATGGGGCTGTAGGGGGCCAGGGGGCTGCGGGGCGCTGGGGGCAGTGAGCCTGGGGGTGCAGGGGCTGGAGAAGCCCCTTCCAGCTGCTGGGGCGGCAGCCCTGGAGACCCCCCACTTGCCCCCTTCAGTCTCAGGATATCCCCCAGCTAATGCAGCCTCCATCCCTGGGGGGGCCAGGCACGTTGCCAGCTGCTCTCTGCCCCATCCCCTCCAGCCCCCATGCCCCAGTGCTGAGGCCCCTCCAGGGCTTGGAGGGGGTCCCAAGCCGTGCTGGCTGAGCTGAAACCCCCCCTCAAGGCACGGCCTGGACACAAACGCCCACCCCCTCCGACAATAAATAAGCAATAATTTAAAAGAGCAGGAGGCTGCATGGAAATGGAGTGGCCTGGACCACGCTGACCCCCCACGTCCCCCTGGGTTTGGGGGTCTCCAGCTCGAGTCCTCCTGGAAGGCACAGGGAATACTGAGCGCAGAGCTGCGGCGCGGGGCACAGACCCAGCGCTCCGGGCCATCGCCCCGTGTCCTCCCCGCTGGGCATGTACGGCTGCGGGGACCCCCCCGCCGGACTGGGGAGGGCGGCGTGTCCGGGGCCATGCGGGGTCCCGCTATTTCCTGAGCCTCAGGTTGTCCAGCAGGAGGCGCTTGTGGTTGGGATCCATCACCCCGGCCTCCTCCAGGTCCTCCTCCGTGATGTCGCTGCAAGGGGGAGCGGGAGCACCCACGGATTAATCCTCGCCGCCTTCTCCCCCACCCCAAAACCACCCTCCGCAGCTCCAGGCAATGACTGTGAACTAGCCCCCCCTGGTAGTGCAGAGGCCTCGTGCCCGCCACGGGCGAACGTGCCCGAGCTGCCACGAGGAGGCTCTGGATGCCCTCAGCAACGGGGACCTGCTGAGGCCGCGGGAGAGCCAAGGTCCTGGATTCCCCCAGCCCCTGGCCCGCCAGCGCTTTCCACCCCACAGCTGTTGCCCCTTCCTGGGGCTCACGGATGTGCCAGCAGCACCCCCTGCCACAGCCCTGGAGCAGGCAGGGGCAGGCCGGGCAGAGACCCCCCGCCCCCAGCACTCACCTGAGGAACTCGAGGTCGTCCCAGCCGTTGTGAATGAGCCCCTCCTCGTACCGCTCCAGCCCGAGGGCCCGCAGCCAGGCGCCCACGCTGGGCTCGCCCAGGCTGGCGCTGCTCCGGCCCCCCTGGCACACGGCCTGCACGGGACAGACAAGACAGGGGCATTGGGCAGCTCTTGGTGCATCTGCCCAGCCCTCTGCCCCCCATCCCCATCCCCGTGCTGGCTGCAATCCCTCTCACCCCAGGGAGGGGGCTTCAGGGGCTGTGCAGGGGCTGTATCCCCATTGTGCAGATGGGGAAACTGAGGCACAGGAAGAGCAGTGAGTGGCTCCAGGTGGTACAGGTGGGATCGAAACACGTGCTGGCAGCTGGATGAGGGGCTTGGACTCCTCCGGGGGGCTGGTTACTACTTCTAGCCCAGGCTGGGGATGGGGACTGGGCTGTGCCAATGCTCCTGCTGGCATCAACCCCGCAAGGTCCTGGCTAGAGGGTCTTGCCCCTGCGCTCAGGGTGCATTTAGGATCAGGAAGGGATTTCCCCCTGGTTAGATCAGTACAGACTGGGGGGTTGCCTTCCTCTGCAGCGGGGGCACAGCCTCTGCCTGGGATCTCCTGAGCATCTATTAACAACCTTTGCAGCAGCCAGATGTTGGCAGCCTTGTCCCCGCTGCTTTCCCTGTGGGAGGTTGAGGTGTGATGCCTGGCGCTGTGCCAGGGGTGACCGCAGTTTTGCAAAGATGCTGGACAAAGGGTTTATCCGGGCTGCTTTGAACAGGGCCGATCCTGCCCCAGGCAGGGGTTGGACTAGATGGGACCTCCCCAGGTCCCTGCAGCCACGGGTCTCTCCGAGTCTAGACTCCAGCCCGTGCCTCCTGCTATGAGGTCCTTGCCAGCATGAGCAGGGGGGGAAATCCCTTCTCAGCCCCACTCCACAGCTCTCCCGCAAGGCATCCCCAGCCCTACCTCCTCCGCCAGGTCCTCCTCGATGCTCTCCCGGATGGAGCGGGGCGGGAAGCTGGGCGACCGGCTGTAGTCGGGGAGCAGGCATCGGGGGGGCAGCTCCAGCCGCCCTTTGCCCAGCGGGGCCGGCGCAGGGCGGTTTGCCGGCTCCCGGCACCCACCGCCGCCTTTGCCGCCTAGGTAATCCACCTCGCTCAGGGTCTTGGCCATCTGCAGCACGGAGCAGGAGCGGTCGTCCAGGAGCCCCGCCGGCGCTGGCGCCGCGCCGGAGCCCTCCAGCACAAAGCCATGCTCCGGGGCGGCATGGGCACGGGGGTGCAGCTTGGGTGGGGGTGGCTTGGTCTCCAGGGGCTCGCTGAAGGCCACGGCAGCTCGGGCCTTGGCCTTGACCTCGGCGTCGTCCCGCCGGCCCGCCTCCTTGGTGCTGGCGTAGAAGGGGTTGTCGCTCATCTCCAGCTCCACCGACTTGGGCAGCGGTGGGGGCGGGAAGGCGGGGGGCGGCAGGTTGAGGGGCGCGGGCTCTTCGTCCGAGGAGGTCTCGTCCCCCCGGCCCGGGGGCGCCTGGCCAGTTGTAGGGGGCCTGCGCCGCTCGGGCTGCACGGGCACCGTGATCTGCACCTTGTTCTTAGGGGCCGGCGGCTTGGAGGTGGCCGGCGAGGCGGCGGGGGGCTCTGCGGCCAGCAACTGGTGCGGGACCCCCTCCAGCACGTAGTAGGCTGGGTTGTTGAAGCTGTTCTTCAGTGGGGCCCCGTCCGGCTCCGCCGCGGCCTCCTGCTTGGACCTGCGGGAATGCACCGGGAAGGTCAGGCTCCGCATCACGAATCGCCCTCGCTGCCCGTTTGCACCCTCTCCCATTCTCCTTGTCCTTTTGGAGGTGCGGGGACCAGATCCAGGTGCTGCGTTCAAGATGTGGGCACCCCTGGATTCATAAAGGGGTGTCACGATGCCTCCTCTCCCCCCGCTCGGCTCCACTCACCGGCTCTGGGAGGCGTCATCCTTGGAGGAGCCGCGGAGCGGGGCGGGGGGGCGGGTGGTGAGCGGGGCGCTGGCCTTCTCCGGCTCCTCGGAGAGCTTCCCCACGGGGCAGGCAGGTGTCTCCCCCAGGAGGTGCTTCCGCCCGGACGACCTGGCCAGAGGGAGAGCCTGTCAGATGCCGGGTGGCTCCTGCGTCCCCCTGGATGATGCAGAGCCACGGGGGCCAGCCCCCTCCAGAAAGGCAGAACTGCCCATGCCCTCTAGGGCCAGACCTCAGCTCTAGGGGCCCAAGGAGGGTCTCCCAGACTGGAGCTGAACAAGGCAGGGGTTGCAGCCCAGCTCAGGGGGGGATCGTGCAGAGCAGCCCCTGCACCTGCAGTGAGCATCGATCCCTGCCGCAGCTCCCGCTCGTCCTTACTTGTGCTCCTGGCTGGCCCGGGAGACGGGCAGCTGCTTCCCCTTGGCTGCTCCGGTCTCATCCTTGTCGATGCTGATCCACTCTGCGGGCGGGAGACGCGCCGGCTCAGCCCCCCGCGCCTGCCCGA